TTTCTCTTCAGAATATTTGGCGTGCGACAATGTTAATGATTTCTTTCTAAACAATACTGAATTTAACTTCGAAAGTCTAGCTTATATTGTTACTACAACTTATTTGTAATTTTTACATTAGTCTAACTATGATTGTAGTCTAGTTTATATTGTTGCCACAAACTTTTACTTGACCTAATATACTCAATACTTAATGCTTAGGACTTTAATATAGCATATATGATATATTTATTGTGACCGATTAAAAAAAACTAAATTAGATTAAAATAAATTTAATATAGTCTAAAATAGACAAACTACCAAATATAAGAATTTCTATGATGTATTTTTTTTAGTTTTTTTTTGTTTTAAAGTTAGTGGTCAGCTTTAGGGGTAGAATTTGTAATAAACAAGTATAAATGGGTTTTAAAGGTTTATAGAAACTTCGATTTTCATTTTAATCTGATTTTACTTTAATTAGCAACATTTATTGTGCTAGACTTTTTATACTGTACATTCGTAAATTTGCAAAATGGTTTATCGTTATTGATTTATTATTAGATCAATTTTTATAGGCCGATGAAAGAATTTATCGTGACCAAAACAACAAATATCAGTCGTACAGATCAGTTACATATGTACAAGATGTATCAAAAAGAAATGAAAGAAAAGACAAAAGAGCATATTTTTTTAGTATCAAAATACTAATTCAAAAAAAATTTCTAATACTTGGATGATTGGTCATGTGATAATATTCAAATTAGTGCGGTATAGATTATATTTGTTTGTTTATGATCTTCCGATATTAAAGCGCGGCAAACTTGAAACTTCCGACAATCTTACCCCGACATGTGTCACGTGATTTTGAAATATACCTTGGTATAATTTGATTCGACAAATTTAAACAGTCATGAATAAATGCCATGAATAAATGCTACATAGTATCAATATTATTTTGTAAAAGAATATATTTATAAGATTCAAATAAATTTTATTATAAGTTATAAACAATTACAAATATCGGCAAGAATTAAACCGGAAAGTCGGATATGCATATGATGAGAATTTTCTTATTACCTTAACGCTAATAAAAAATATGCAAATTTGGTTGTACGTAGTAGCATGAAACATCGTCATCTGAACGTGCACCTGCGTAAACTATAAATAACCTGGACTAAATTTTATTATAAAAAATCATATAGGTTTATATATAATTATATGCGATGGTTTTTTCTTTTTAGCTTACTCATCTCTAATTAGAATTTAACCTGTTTGTTCTAATTGGAATTTAACCTGTTCTAAGTAGAATTTAACCTGTTTGTATATCTATTATTATAATAATTAGGGCCGAACAAGCTTGATACCCCTATATAATCATCTAATCATCTAATCATGCGATAATGCCCGTCTGGTCCTTATTTTGGGGGCAAAGTTCATTTATCCGATCCTTAAAATTCAAGTAAAAAGAATATTATTGAGCTGAATTGAATGTTTTTAAGAGCCTAATTAGTAAAATAATTCCAGCAAATAAGCTAAACGAACCTACAAATGCTTAATAACTCCCGGAGAACCCGAAATATACTATTTTAACTGTAAGTATTAATAATAGTAAAACAAATGCAATGTATGCAAATTTGTACGATACAGTCGTACATACATCCGTACAGTACACATTTGATCATGCGTGTTGGAAACACCTTTGTTACTCTTATTCTATGTACGAATGTATGTACGTATGTACGTACATACAGTACACTTCCGCATTTTTTCCTGAATGTTAGTCATATTTTTTAAATATGAATAAATTTCTTTATAACTTTTTAGTGAACTAAAATAGCCAAGTTACTAGCAGTATAAAGGATGGAAAAATTTTTCCATACCATACGCTTTAACTATCTAAATATAGTAAATGATTTGATATTATAAACCTATTTCCCTTTTTATTTTTTATCAATAACAATGAACAACCTATGAATACTCGTACATCTGTGCATTTGTACAGTACAATAATTTTATTTTATGTACTTATTCTAAGATTTTATTATTTAAGCTATTTGTTTATTTCATGTGTGTTTTTTTCAAAAAATTTTTCTGCTATTAATATATTACTGTATGAAACGTTATTTAAATAAAACTTCTTTGTTCAAAATCTCTATATATCTCTTTTGGCCACAGCAAATTTAAAGTGCAAGAATTCTATAGTTTAAAACGAATTCTTTAGTTTAAAAATTTTTTATAAATGCCTCCTACAAACCAATTCGAAGATTCGGATGAAAGCTGGTCTACTTCATCAGTTGAAGAACGATTAGAACTTTCGCAAAATAAACGAGCAGGAAAGAGGGGTAAAATTTCCATCATAGCCTGTGACCGGTGTCGACATATGAAAAAGAAATGCACAGGTGGAGATTTTGTGAGCAAAAAACCTTGCTTATATTGCTCAAAAAATGGTGGAAAATGCGTATATACAGATCTAAGAAGACGACGAACTGCGAATGTTCAAGATTTCCAACAGTTTATTGATAGATTGGTGGTTATTGAAGATCAATTGAAAAAATTAATAAGTGATCTTAAAGAATTCTTTGAATCAACAAAAAATCAAGAAGAACCTGAATTTTTTGGTGATGAATTCAGATTCGAAATCTTGAATTTTTGTAATAAATCTTCATATGATTTCGAAGACCAAAAATCCTTAGAAGATCCTTCAAATCCTTCGTCGGCTTCACTTTCGGAAGCAAAAGAACAATCTGACGGTGAGAAACAAACTAATGAAGCAAGCAATTCCAAACTTAAACATAAAAATTCTGAAACAAAAAAGAGAAATCACAAAAAACCCAAAACTCAAGACTCCTTACCATCTAATGACCAACGTAAAAACGTGACAGGAACTTTTTCGACTTTGTATTTGTCACCAAGAGGCCCCCATGTTACTCATTTATTTTCTAAAGACGAAGGCATATCTGAAAACTTTCAATTTCAACCACCAACTCCTCCTATACCAACTCCTCCTATAAACCAATATGATCAAAATCCAATGATAGCCGATGGTAACAGCTTCTGCTTCAATAATTTAAATTTGCAGACTGAACCTCAAATATCACCTTTCTCTTCAGAATATTTGGCGTGCGACAATGTTAATGATTTCTTTCTAAACAATACTGAATTTAACTTCGAAAGTCCACTATTTTTTAATATGCAGTTATGAAATTTTAGGAACACATTTTTTTATTAAAAATTTTGTAAACTTTAAACTTTTATTTCTTTATTATTATATTAGATTACCATCTTTCATTTTTTTTCATAAATTATGAATAGAATCTATAAGACTTTTTTAAACTTTCTAACTATTCCAATTAAATATGCATACAAATTATGACACCTTCATGAACTGTATTTTTTTTTTTTTTGGCAAAAAACACAATCGAACCTGTTTTTTTTTAATAAATTGTAAAATAAATTTTATCGAAATTGGCAATTTAAAATTTAAATAAGTTTTATGAAAAGAGAAGTACGTACTTCTGCAATACATAATTGAATTAATTTAATCGTTTGTCATTTATCGCCATTTTCAAAACAATGCATAAATACACAGGTAAGTAGTATCTGATTGTAAAATCGATGTGTACGTACTACGTGCATATGTGTGAATACGTTAATAGAAATGGCGACAAGTCGTGTTACATGAGCCACAGCTTGTTCATGCCATCAATCTTATTTACCATATTTCGAAAATTTACGGCAAAATTTTTTTTATTGTATTATGGATCATGAGCAATTATATGTAAACTCTATCAAATACACAAGAACAAAAATGTATACTTTGGGTTTCTTCATTTAAGTTAACGGTCGATTAATACATCATAATCCTTAAGGAAAGATTCAATCTAACCTAAAATATTTCTCTTAAAGTTACATACTGGAAACTCAACGCCATACTACATCCAATTAGGTCTATTGTTATGATTTACTCAAAGATTTTTTTGTTTGTTACATTACTAAACAAAAACAATTTCAATGAATTATTGCCATCTCCATAAACAATCTTGTCATACCCTAATGGTAACGATCCATAGTTTATCGATTAATCATTTTTCTACTCGGGTTCAAAAGTTATTCAAAAATTATTCAAAATTCTAGATTTATTGTGTAATTAATTAAAAATTTAAACACACAATATCATTGGCTGAAAAAATTGAATACCTTTAATCCATATGGAGAAAGAAAAGCGGATGGTATGTCTCATGGTATTCTCATGATATTTCTCATGATATCGGTTTGCTATTATATAAAATTTAATAAATGGTTTAAAAGGTAGAAATATCATATCGCAATTAATAACACCAGATTATTTTG